AAGTGGTATTGTGCAAGATTGGTGGTGAAAGGATATGCTTAGAAAGAAGAAATAGACTTTAATGAGATATTTTATCCAATGGTATGACTTACTACAATCAGAGTAGTCTTAGCAATGTGTGCTATATTTGATCTTTACTTAAAGCAGTTAGATATGAAAACTGCATTTCTTTATAGAGAACTTGAAGAAGAATTTATATGCTCCAACTAGAGGGTTTTGTTGAAACAGGCAAGGAGAACTTGGTACAAGAAGTGTTGGTACAAGAGATTTGATTCCTTCATAATTAGCCTTGGGTACAACAAACTCAGTTCAGATCATTGTATGTATTATAAGAGGTTTGAAGAAGATTTCATCATTTTATTGTTGTACGTAGATGATATGTTGGTGATAGGCCCCAACAAAGATCCAAGAATTGAAGGCACAGTTGGTTAGGGAGTTTGATATGAAGGACTTAGGACCAGCAAACAAGATTTTAAGGACGTAAATTTACTAAGACAGAAGTAAGAGGAATATTTGGCTTTCTCAGAAGAATTATTTGAAGAAGATCTTGCGATACTTCAACATGCAAGATTGTAAGCCAATTTCCACCCCACTTCCTATTAATTTCAAATTATCCTCAAGTATGTCTCCTAGCAATGAAGCAGAAAGGATGGAGATGTCTTGAGTACCATATGCATCAACAATGGGAAGTTTAATGTTTGTGATGATATGTACAAGACCAGACATTGCACAAGCAGTGAGAGCAGCTAGTCGATACATGGAAAATCCTAGTAGAGAGCATTGGAATACTATTAAAAGGATCTTGAGATACATTAAGGGTACCTTAAATGCTGCGTTATGTTATGGAGGATCAGAATTTACTATCAGAGGTTATGTTGATTCAGATTTTGCTGGTGACCTTGAGAAAAGAAAGTCCACTACAAGTTATGTGTTCATAATTGTAGGAGGAGCTGTGAGAGGAGCTGTGAGCTGGGTCTCTAAACTACAGATTTTTATAACGTTATACATAATAGAAGTTGAGTATATGGTAGCTACATAAGCTTGTAAAGAAGTAATATAGATGAAGAAACTTATGGAGAAGCTCAGGCACAAACAAGAGAATATTCTTTTGTATTGTGATAGTCAAAGTGCTTTGCATATTGCAAGGAATCCAACATTTCATTCAAGAACAAAATACATAGATGTTCAATATCACTTTGTTCGCGAAGTGGTGGAAGATGAAAGTATGGATTTTCAAAAGGTTCACACAAAGGAAAACCCAGCAGATGCTTTGACAAAACCGGTCAACAGTGATAAGTATATATGGTACAGATCCCCTTACGGCCTAGCAAAAACCTAAGCAGCATGAAGATGACAAGTATAAAAAGGATAGAAGAAGCACAAATGATTAAGTGTGAAGATTTAATTAAATCATCTAAGTCTTCAAGTGGGAGAATGTAAAGCTAGCTAGCATCGCCAGCCAGCCAAGTAAAAAATAGGCACCAATTTGGTGCCACTTACCTTACTTTTGTCTTTTGCAAGATAAAGGCAAGGATGTTTGCCTATAAATAGGTGATGAATCCTTGCTATATAGAGCACACTCAAGAGAGAAATAAGAGAGGAAGAGTAGAGTGAGAGGGAAAATAATCCCACAAAATTATGAGGAATTTGTGAGAAAGTGAGGTGTTTTCTCTTATTATTAGAGAGTTTTCAGTTATTATGCTATTAGTAGAGAAAGATTGTAAAGCCTAATTTAGGTGAACCATCTAAATTCTTGTGTGTCATTTCTCATTTTATCCGGTCCTTTACCTTTTATCTTATCAAGTTTGCATACTAGTATCCTAATAATTTTCAGTGCTCGATCACTAATACCAACTTACTGTAAGTTTCTCTACAGTGGGTAAAGGAAAAGGATCAAACCCAACATTTCTGTTCTCTAGAATGATTTCATGCTTCGCGTTTATTAATCATTTTCGTGGTGAAAATGGGATATGGATAGCATGGTTGCCTTGGCTTTCTGGGTTACACAACCAATTTAGCTGCTGAACAACTCCAAGCCACATTCCACGGTTTGTGCCAGCATGAATTCTTAGGTCCAAAATTATTATTTTTTAAACTGAATCTAAGGAAGCTTTACATGCTACTAATGGTTCAAGCAGTTGTCATCCATGGTATGGAATTATCATGAATATTCGGTCTCTTGTGCAGCAGAGTTGGGGGTGTAGGCTGTAACGTACTTTAAGAAAGGGGAGTGCTTGTGCTGATTTCCTTGCCAAGAATGGTGCACAACAGTCTAATGATTGAGCTGGGCTATGCCTCGTTTACTCTGTGATCATTGAAGCCCTTCTTTCTTGAGACCCTAGTGCTAGTTTCTTCTTCCCCTCAATCGCTCTCTCTCTCTGTTTTTTATGTTCCATAATGCTTTTCTTTTCCTCCTTGTTACATCATTATCTCTATTTATTGAGGTTTTGTTGCATCATTATCTCTATTTTCCATCATCTTTTCCCTTCTTCTTTTTTAGATTAATGCGGGTGTTCGGGCCAGCTTTCGTGCACCACAACTAATCCCACGGACCCTGAAGTTAACGACCATGTAAGCCTCCAATGGCCATCATATGAGCAACCAAAGACTCGAACCTGAGACTACAGAGGGAGCAAACCTCTTGATCTCAAGTTCTTACCACTTGATCACCACCTAGATGGTTATCTTTTCCCTTTTTTTTGAATTTAGGTGTGGTGTTGTTAAGACCCCACCATGTGTGCGCGCTTTGTTTTATCTTTTCTGTTTCACATAACATAATTTAAAATTTTTCCTTGAGTTTAGAATCTCATTATGCATTCTTCAATGTAAAACTAATATTTATATTTTATTTCCCTTTAATATTCTTTTTTGTTTAATATAATTAATTTTTATAAATGTTTTTATGGAGGGAGTTTCATTCAAGTTAGTATTAACATGATATATCATGTTAGTTTAATTTTAGCCCCTTGAATTAAATCAAGGGAAAAGATTTTGACAATAATTTTCTCATGCTTAACTAAATTTATTTCCTTTTATGTTTCAGTTAAATAAAAAAATCTATATTTAATGTAAAGATAAAAACCTTCTCCCATCTCATACGTTAAAAAAAAAAAACCCTCTTCTATAACCATTTAAATTAGTGATGGAAATGGGTGCCCTACAAAATCCAAGCCAATGGGAACGTTTACAAGTAGGATTTTCTTTTTGATAAGCAAATGAGAAAGGGAGCGGCGTACATATAACCATTCAAATTAGTGATGGAAATGGGTGCCCTACAAAATCCAAGCCAATGGGAACGTTTACAAGTAGGATTTTCTTTTTGATAAGCAAATGAGAAAGGGAGCGGCGTACATATAACCATTCAAATTAGTGATGGAAATGGGTGCCCTACAAAATCCAAGCCAATGGGTACGTTTACAAGTAGTATTTTCTTTTTGATAAGCAAATGAGAAAGAGAGCGGCGTACATACCTTCTGTGCTATGAACTAAAAACCCGAATCCAATATATATATATATATAGTTTTTTATATTTTGTCATTTATATTTCCAAATAATTTATCTTTTGAGATACATTTATTATTAGGTTGATATTTAGATTATATATTAGAGTGATAATAAAGTTTAATATTTATAATAATAATAATATAAGGTAAATGAGATTCTTGAAAACCTTTCTTCAATTTAAAAAGTATTTATATTGACTTGTGGGATATTACTGAGGCTGAACATACTAAGCCCATTAAAATAAAATTGGAAAGAGAAGTTTGCTAAGCCCATGATAAACAAAATAAAAGACATCTTTATAATATTAAAGTCATGAATTTTTTTTTCCTACAATTACCCATGTGGAGTTCAATAAGGTTATGAGTGTAAAAACTGTTTATAAAATTGGGAAGTTACTAGAAGTATCCCATAAAAAATAAAAATAAAAAAAATTAAATTAAAGATCCTAGATTAATACGTTTTGCTAGAGAATATAACTTTTCAAAATGAAGCCCAAGCATTTGTGAAACACATATTAGATTCATTATCTTTATTAGTGAACTAATTAACTTAAAAAAATAAAAATAAGAAAATAATTGGTAAAATTATGAGGTCTTTGCCTAGAGTATGGGAATCTAAAGTCAAAGCCACAGAGGAAGTAAGAAATCTCAAGACACTTCATTTTGATGAATATATTCGTGCAACATGTGATGTGATAAGAATCAAGAAATTACCACTAAATTATTTAATTCAAGATTATTAGGAGGCTTAGATGAGTTATAAATTATTAATATTTTTAGTACATCTTATCTAAAATGAATTATATTATATAATTTAAATATGATTTAAAAGTGCTAATGAGCTTCTAATATGAAATTGTTTATGATCTAAAATAAAGATTTATTTTTATAAACAAATTTGATATTTTAAATTTAGATTTATTTTCATAAATAAATTTGATATTTTAAATTTATTATCAGCTCATATACTCCGAATAGATTTCTGTGGAAAACAATTCATGTATTTGCCTTAATAGGGTTGACTATCTTCAAAGGCAAAAGGGTTTTCTACAAGTTGTATATCGTGATGAAAACTATTTTTAATTAAAATTGATGAATATCTAAATAATTATAAAAAAATTCTAGTTATTTTTTGATATTTAATTAATAGCTTACTTGTAAGTCTAATATTTATATCAAAATATTCACCATTAATTATCGGGAAAAACATATTGGGGTATTTGAAATATTAGCCAAGTTCTTATAAATTCAATAAAATGGTTATTAAATCCAAAACAAAAATACAAAAAAATATTTTTAAATTTCTTATGTATATAAAAAATGTTAAATCATAACATGTGTTTTTATATTTTTTAAAAGAAAAATATAATATTTATTTTTTGAGATTTGGCCATAAACACCAAATAAAACATATTTTTTGTATTTTTTTGAAATGAGAAAAGTTTTTTGAAATTTAGAAATCTTTTAGATTTTGACAAAAAGTGAGTATCTTAATACTAGATTAACATTTTATAGTATAAGTCTACAACCTCGATATTAAATAAAATTGCTAAAAAAAACATGTGAAGGACCTACAAAATATTTTAAATTGGTCCTTGAAATTTTTGAAATTTTTTTTTGAAATTTATTTGGGGTCTATTTGGCAAAAACTCTTTCTAATTCAAAAGAAAACTATCAAAATAGGCTTAAAGGTATTTTTACCAAAGATATCCTTAAGCCTAAATTCTTTTTATTAAAGCGATAGCAAACCAAACAAAGTCTTGGCTTTTAACCCAATCAGGTTGACTTAAAATTTTTTATTCAATTATAAACCAAACTAAAAATTCTAGTTTGACATGGAAAACAATCTAAAAAACCAAAGGCAAAAAATATATTAAACATAAAAATACCAAAAATTCTTAAGCAAAATGAATCAAATACCAAAAACAATAAAGAATATGAAGAATATTTACAACAAACCCATCCACATTAATCTCAAACTAGACTAGCTAAAGACAAACCAAGAATATAAACATGTTGGAAATTAAAAAATGATCAATAATCTAGCATTCATTCACTTTGGTTATCATTCAAAATTCATAATTTTATCAAAATAGATTTTGGTTTTAAACCAAAATCTGAGAATTAAAACTCGTCAAAAAAACATGTTATTGATGAAAGAAACTCTAAATTATTAACTAATCAAGTATAAAAAAAAAAATTTTATGCAAAGAAATTGACCAAAATAGATCCAAATCTGGTTAAGACAATATTATTTCCAAGAACATGAAAAATATTACACTGAAACCTAGCAAAAACTCAATCATTGCCTAGCATTGCCAAGCCCCAAAAATAGGTATTTAGACCTTGAAACACACTGCTCTTAGTTTTTATAATTCACGTTTTCAATACCAAGTATAGTTGAATCAAAAGAACTAACAAAAATATTAAATCATCAAAAACATGCATTAAATGCAACCCTAATGATAGCCAACAAAAACATATAAAATTTAGTTAATGATTTCTTATTTATGTATTTTAGCTCTCAATTGATCATCATACTTGTAATTTTTTAATTGAACCCCTGATTTAATCAATTCCAACCCCTACGTTCACGTGTCTTTTTTGATTTTATAATTGGTTTTGGATCTTTTCAATGTAGTCCCTAACTGCTCATTAAAATTTAATATTTATGTAATTAAGCTTCTAATTTGATAAAATTGACTTTTTAAAAATGAAATTTAACCTCTAGACTTTAATTTCTTTTAATTAAAGCCTAAATAAATTTAATTAAACTTTGAAAAATTTCAATTGAGTTCTTAAACATTCAATTTTGAATTTTCTTTCTTAAATTGAATTTCCTTATCAATGAAGCCTTTATTAGTAAAAAATATGTTGGAAAATTCTTAATTTTAGGTATTTTGATGGTCTTCAACCAGTTTTTGACAACTTTCTAGGCATTCTCCATGTTCTCCTAACTGAATTTTTTTTATTTTCTTTAACCTATTTTTATTTTTTGGTATTCTTTATCTTTTTTTTATGAGGTCAAAAGTAGATAACAAGTTTATTACATCATTAATAGCTCATGAAGAAAATATCAAAGATTTTGAGTTTAAAAAGAAACCCTAGCATTAAAATTAATTAATAATCATGAGGATAAAAATGTATATAATAATGATAATAATAATAATAATGATATATTCATGATTGTTAAGAGATTCACAAAGTTTTAATAAATAAAAAGTATGACAATCAAAGAATTTTTATAAGAGAAAAGGATGACAGTGTGAAACATGATTTCTACAATACAAAAGTTACTTGTATATTAGCCAAAAAAAAAAAAGGAAATTGAAGTCATTTTATAATAGAAAAAGAAAGAATACATTTTAAGTTAAATTGTGAATCATTTCCAAGATCAATGTTGAACTAAGATGCCTAGGGGACCAAACACATGGAAGGTATGTTCACTAAATAGCATCTAAAAGAAAATAGTACGAGACAAGACAATGCATACAACGTAATATGAGACAGAACACTACAAGTGGAACATAATTTTTTATCTTTGCCTTTGGTTGAGAATGGAGTATTAGACAAAATAAAATACAATAAATATTTGGGATATCTTGGGATGTAGCACATAAAATTTAAAAATTTGGCATAATAACACAACTCTAAAAAAATAAGTGAAATAACACACTTTAGTGAATGTCATGTTTTGGAAAACATTATATTAAATATATATTATATTTTAGAATCGTGATAGCCTTTGAAATGTATAAAGTCGTTAGAAAACTCCATTAACCAAAACAATTTAACTATTTTTTAAAAATTTTAGAATGTGTTCGAGATCTTATAACATGCATTTTCTCTTCATTTTCATATTCAATGAGATATGGATGCATCACAACATTTTTTGGCATATTAATATCCATATTTATCATCATAATATCGCAATTTTTACCTTTTTTCACATGTTTTTTTTCTTATAATTTATGTGGTTTTAAAGTACCTTATAAACAAAATTTATTTTGAATTTGTAAGAAATTATAACACCTATTTAGTGGTTATTTGGTTTATTAATAATACAATTATTTGGTTTATAACAACTATAAATCGAAGAACTCAACAAACAATCATGTTATCTTGTTGAATTCTTAGATTTTCATAGGACGTTGTGAATCATGCATATGTCCTTGAATATGAAAGTGTGGTTTCATATACACACAGTTCATTATATATAAAAAGGGAAAAAATACATTTTATAAGATGTAGAATACATTTTGAAAATTCTAGAATTTTCAAAAAATAACCGGATTATTTTGTAAACTGGTCAAGTGCATTGCGTGATTTGTCGCAATACAATAGATGTCGTGATTTTTAAACACAATATTCTTAAATTTTACAATTGTGAAAAGTGAAATATATAAATTGTGTTATTTCACCTATTCTTTTTCAAATTATGCTTTAAATCAAATATTTATTGTGTTCTTATATATATTTTTATGCATATTATGTTTGGTATGTGGTTTTGAGACTTTTTTCATTATACTGTCTTTTAATTATTTATATTTTTTCCACTCAAAAGGAAAAAAAAAAAGAAAAAAACCCAATACATTATGCATATTTGATATTTTTCTATTTTTAATAAAATATTTTTTTCCTTCAAAATCTATAAAAATTTAATGTCAAATTTTTAAGGAATTTAAGAAATTTATTCAATATTTATGATACATTTTATAAATTAAATTAAGTAATGAAATCATAAAGAAAATTCTCATGACAAAAAAAAGGCCTTGATGGATACTGAGGGTATGAGGCAAAACAAAATACAATAAACATTTGGGCTATTTTGGGATGGTAGCATGGAAATACTTGGCATAATAACTCAACTCCAAAAAATATTAGCAAAATAACACAATTTGGTAAATATTATTATTTTAAAATGTGACATTTAACAAAATCATGATTTAAAAATACTGCATTAAATATATGTTGTATTTTAAAATCACGAAAGCCATCAAAATACATAATGGCTAAAAAATTCAAAAAGCCAAAATGATCTGAAATTTCTATAAATTCTAGAATTTTAGAATGTGTTCAACATCTTAAATATAAAATGCATTTTCTCTTCATTTTCACGTTCAAAGAAAATATGCACATTTTATAAAATTAGACCATTTTATAAAACGGTTAGGCACATTACATGACTTGGCATCATTCAATAGATGTCGTGATTCCTAAACACGATATCCTTAAATATCACAATTGTAAATCATGAAATATACAAACTTAGTTATTTCACCATTTTTTTTAAAAATTATGTTGTTCAACTAATATTTTTAATTTATTGTGCTACTTTAAAAAAATATTTTTTTCTCTTTTATGCGTTTATATTTTTCTGTAATTTTTTTTTAAGAATTTAAAAGGTTTATACAAGATTTATGATACATTTTATAAATTAAAATATGAAATTAAATTAAGTAATGAAATAAAATAAATAGGCCTAGGAGTTGAGCCCAGGCACGATAGGACCAATGTCCATGCACGCCCAGGTCTTTCTCCAGGTCCAGTAGCCACATTTAAACAACAAACATACACAAAATCTGATGTGAATTTTCTTTTGGATCTAGGAATTTAAATCTATGACATGATAGAATTTAGGATTTTAGCTTTTTTGTTTAAGCATATTCAATGGCCACAGATTCATACAAAATTAACGGTTGAGATTGGAAGGTGTACGACATTTTTTCAAATGGTCATCTCAAACTACTTGTTTAAGAAATATGATAGCGACATAATTTAATGTTTTTTTAATATATTAAAATAACTTTTTTAAAAATTATATTTTTATAATACTACAGTAAAATAAAATGATTTAAGAATATAAAAAATTAGTTAAAAAATATAATTTATACGGAGTTTCCAATCACAATAATGCAGAGAGAGGGAGGGGGGGTGTAATTGTCCGGAGAAAAAAAGGGTACGCATTGTCCTTGCGTGTGTCTTTGTACATATGGACAAATACAAGGGACAGTATATTATGCTCTGTGCACCCAAGACAACTATATATATATATATATATATATATATATATATATATTATTTATTTCTAATTTTAAATTAAATTATATATATAAAAATAAAAATAGACTTGATTTCTTTTAATTAATCTACCAAACTCAAACTCATGCCAAAAGTTATAACCTTCACCAAATTAAGTTAAGTTATTTTATTTTATAATAAAAAAAATTTAATTAATCTTTTGAACCCGTGTTCAAAATTATAAACTTCACAAAGGTAAGTTATTTTATTATATAATAAAAAAATTAATTTATAATTATTACAATGCTAAATAAAATAAAAATAAAAATAATAAATAACTAATAAAAGTATAGTAGACACGTTATTGAAAAAAAAGCCGAAGCATCTTGAAACACATGTCTAAAACATAACTTGTACTAACTCCCTTCTTCAAGAAAATTGATTTAAGTCATGTTTTGTCACACAAAATTTTATTTATTATTTTTTAATAAATTATTTATGAAAAACAACATTTTAAATTATAATTCAAAATCAAAAGTAACTTTCCATGTATCATACCAAATGGTATTAAATTCAAATCCTACGATTAGATTTTTATATTCCATTGGTTATATTCGCAAAAATATTCTAAATCTCAATGGATTTTTATATTAAGAATGCATAAATTTGGGTGGGGGACCACAATAGCATTTCCTTGAAAAACAAATAAAAAAAAATAAAACATGCAATGGAAGTAAAGCACGTGGACTTTTTGGGTTAGCCGTTAGGGTCAGAGGATTC